GTATACAAAGTCACCACATCGTTTACAGTATATGAAACCGGTTTCCACAGAAACAGCTGAAAACTCGAGAACTGATTGAACTTAGTGATGGGGAAGGAAAGCGACAGCGTGATTTTTTATTTCGGATTTTTTATCACAGCTGAAGCGCTGAATGTTTTACTGGACGAAAAAGCCCAATGCATAAATGGTTTTGTTTTCTTCCTATCTATTTATGCTGGTATTTTTGAGCGTTTTTTTTTATTTACTTTTATTTATGACTATTTACTTACCAAATGAGTGCTCGGCTTCACTGAAATGAGCCCGCATATGCGTCAAGCATGCGAACGTAGAACATTGGCAGCAGGCACACATCAACGCATTCAGCCGTGTTTTACACTGCTCACATCTTACATATTTGGCCTGAAATGCAAGCATGATAATAACAATGCCACTGCAAAAAATTAAAAAAACGCAGTGACCTGGGCCTAGGATTTTACCTGGACAAAAAACTCAGTACCACATTTTTCGCAACTCGTATCCGAATCCAAAAACGAGTGCATTTTGTACAGCGAAGCCGAGCCGAGTTTTAGTAACTGTGGCTTAATGGACCGAAACGTCTTATCTCACTCTTACCTCTTTCTTTCGTATCGTTATTTGTCGCGCCTTCGTCAGTTAGGCTCCGAGGGACAATAATCTGCTTACAAGCACTTGGCGAATCTAGGGGCGAGGGGGAGGGGGATGGGAACGAGGGGTCTTTCACTCTTCCCCCCCAGAAGCTCATATAGCAGCTATTCTACTGTAGAAACCTCTGTTCGATATCGCCTGTTGCCCCCCCTCCCTCGCTTCCCCGATCGTCTCCGTAGTTAAAGTCGACTAGAGGAGGGGGAGGGGAGGGGAAGGGAGTAGCAGAATGTGGAACACGCTGACCACCGGGGAGGGGTGGCGCCTCGACCGAGGAGTGGGTTGCGAGCTGACCGACAGGGACGGGTGTAGTGACGAAGGGAGAACAGGAGGTGGAAAATAGCCCCTGCCCCTTTCCCTTCCCCTCCCCCCTCCCCAGGAGACCGCCCTGGCTCCGCCTATGTTTACAAGGAAAAGACAGTATCGGAAGAGGAAGACGACAGAGTACAAGAAGAACTTACGTGAATTGTGCGTGCACTCTCATTGTTCGGAAATATTACATTATAAATAACATTGCAAAGTGTCTTCGTCAGCGTTCGCCGATGCTTGACAATATGTGGACACGAGGATAAATCACCACCGCCCATTGGTCACAATTAAACTGCAAATTACGTGAAAAATAAAAAAAGCCACGTGTCTTGCAAGGAATCTGAAACTGATAAACAAGCCTGTAATGTTTAATTAAACATTTTTTTACGCAAAGCGTTTAAACTCTGTAAAAACTAACGAACAAAAACATCCCGACACAGTATATTAACGACTATTCCTTGAATTATACCAATAATAAATACTAAATTTTATTAC